ACCGGCCCTTTAACCACTTTGGGAAATTTGGCATTTAATTCCAAAACACTTTTTTGAAGTACACATGGAGTATGTAGCGCGCCCTCTTCATCTGATTCCCTTCCCCACCGCTGCTGACAAGAATAGAGCTTATGGACAGTGTTTATAAACCCGAAGCATGATTCAGAAATACATGGTAACATCATTGTCACTTTGTATACACATTACTCTGTTTCATTCCTATGAAGGTCAAAGGGGTGACCTCTGATCTGTTTATATTACAACAAATAGAAACAACTTGGGGCTTACCAGGGGCAACCCCAAGTTGTTTCTATTTATTGTAACTCAATCATTAGGGGTGCGGTGCCGTGCTTCTGCCTTTCAATGCCCCTGATTTATCAGATTGCTATTGTTATAAACTCTGATCTGTTTATGTCAGTTACAGCAACCTTAAATAAAAACCAAAAATACATAAATACATAAATACATACATACATACATACATAAATACATACATACATACATACATACATACATACATACATAAATACATACATACATAAATACACACATACATACATACATAGATAAATACATACATACATACATAAATAAATACATACATACATAAATAAATACATAAATACATACATACATACATAGATAAATACATACATACATAAATACATACATACACATAAATACATACATACATAAATACGTACATACATACATACATACACATACATACATACATTAATAAATACATACATACATACATACATACATACATACACACACATACATACATACATACACACACACATACATACATACATACATACATACACACACATACATACATACATACATACATACATACATACATACATACATACACACACATACATACATACATACATACACACACATACATACATACATACACACATACATAAAAACATTTTAGCGTTGCATTAAAGAAATATGCAAAACTGTAAAAAAAAGATTATTTTATTAAAGTTACAAAATAAAGAAATATGTTACTGTAAATACAAAGCCACACATTTTCTTTTAAACTTTATTTCTTTTTAACTTAAAAATAATAATATAGTAATAATAATAATTGTTTTTAAAAAAAAGTTTTTGTTTATTGAAATTTTTTTTTATCTATAGATTGCATAGAAATGTAAAACTATATCAGTCAGGTAGATGCAGGGGTGTGAGCTGAGGTGGTTCGATGAGCCCAGCCGGGGGGTGATCATGTTTGCCGGCTATAAACCTTTAAAAGTCAAAGTTTGGTCACCGCCCTCCGTGTAATTGTATGATTCGGAACGCATATAACGGGCCGGAGATATTTGATGATACCCCTCACGGGGGTAATTCCCGGCATTAATGTATCGGGGAAGAGGAAATTAAATTCGGATGCAGCGAGGACGGTAATCTGACACGGAGACGGATTATCAGGATATGTGACTGCGGAGATGGAACCTTCTGCCCGGATACAGAAAATCCCCAACATCTGCCCGACTCCCCCTGATATCTACCCAGGACTTCACCACCGCTATAGAACTCACAAATACCCCCCCCCTTCCCCTTCCTGCCCCCTTACCTGGTGATCATCATTGCCCCTTTACAGAAGACAGACACGGACGGCATCCTTCTGTAGGCAGGGATGGAATGAGGGACATGGGCACGGTGGCCAAGTGGGGAGGTATCGAGGGAACGGGCGGGGGGGCGCATCATGTGACCGTTCAGAAAATGATCTGCCTTGTCATGGAGATAGGGAACTGCCACTCACTCACTGGCCCTATATGGGTCACCGGAGACCCGGGGCAAGTGTCGGATCTCAGCAGAGGCCATCCTCTTCTTACACTGTGACAGTCAAATGAAAATAGATATTCCAAAATTTCTGTATAGAGCGCAGAGAGGTAATCAGGAGAGTTTTTAGGGTCCTCAGAGACCCGAATGTTAAAGACCAATTTCATTTCCAGTTTAGCTAAATCCATTCTGGGTGCAGCAAAGCGAAAGGTGAACGAGGTCTTTAGGTTTTCTTAAAAAAAGCAGCCACAGCCTGAATAGAAGAGCCTGTCCCCTGCCAGCATGCTGCACAGTGAGACCATTGCTCTTTGTGTGGAAGCAGCGTCTCTCAGCAGGGGTCCATCACCTCCATGGTGAGTCAGAGCGAGAGCTCTCCAATCAGCATGGAGCTTGAGCTTTGCTGATTTCAGAGCTAAAGGTTTGACTCAGTAAGGTGGCATGTCAGACCTTTGCAGAGAGACCACTGCTTCCATATAGAGAGCAAGGTTCCTCCTCTGCAGCATGCTGGCAGGGGGCAGGCTATTGTACTCTGTGGCTGTGGCTGTTTTAGATGGAAAATGAACTATATGACACTGAACACCTGCTGGTTTGATACACCTGGAATGCATTTAGGTCATTTACACTGAGGGGCCAATTGGGCTTCGGAATGTACGATCCCGGCACCTGTAAGAGCTGGGCTCCGGGAGGATGCAATGCCCTTACCAGAGCAAGGGTAGAGAGGGGGAGCGTGAACCTCACATCCTTGGAGGAGCTCACTTTAGCAGGTCACATGGGGAGTGCGGACCTCACATAGCTGGAGGAGGGCACCCTAGGAGGTCACGTGAGGAGCGCAGACCTCACACCACTAGAGGAGGGCACCCTAGGAGGTCATGTGAGGAGCACAGACCTTACATCGCTGGAGGAGGGCACCCTAGGAGGTCACGTGAGGAGCACAGACCTTACATCGCTGGAGGAGGGCACCCTAGGAGGTCACGTGAGGAGCGCAGACCTCACATTACTAGAGGAGGGCACTCTAGGAGGTCACGTGAGGAGCGCAGATCTCACATCACTAGAGGAGGGCACTCTAGGTCACGTGAGGAGCGCAGACCTTACATCGCTGGCGGAGGGCACCCTAGGAGGTCACGTGAGAAGCGCAGACCTCACATCACTAGAGGAGGGCACCCTAGGAGGTCACGTGAGAAGCGCAGACCTTACATCACTGGAGGAGGGAACCTGGGGAGCGCACACCTCACATCCCTAACTGTGCGTTATTACTGGTCTCTGTACTCTGCGTCACACCGATGGCCTCCGTACTCTGCGTCACACCGCTGGCCACTGTACTCTGTGTCACAGCGCTGACCTGGCGGAGTTAAGGCCGGGGCAGGGTAGTGGTTAGGTGGAGCAACTGGTGGCGAGTAACTCTTAAGGCCTGGCTAGTAGCTCAGGACTTGACATTTTGAGCCCTGCTGTAGAGCATATACCATCAGATTGTAATATGTGGGGCCATCTTAAAGGAGATCTTACTAAGACTTACACTTAAATTGTACCCTTGGCACCGGGCCGGTGTGGCTGTACGGGGGGGGGTACATTGAATGGTCATAGTGGCCGATCATCTTTCGGTTCTGTGTTCCTGCGTCTGGATTAACTCTCCCGCCTGCCCCATGTACACCCAGCGAGGGCACACATCCTCTGTAAGCCGTCTCTTCCCGGCAGGCTGCACTAATCTTTTCTTGAAAAGTGATTATCTATACAATGACCCTCCGAGGCCCTTCCAGGGGGTCAGCCGCAGGTCACATGACAGCGGCTCGGCGCCATCACTTGGATACGGCTTCTCTTCCAGTTTAAAGAGGACCCGTCCTGTACTGGCATTGATGACCCCAGCTGTGGGGAAACTACCAATCCCATAATGCCTCTGCTTCTGGGACGCTCTGCCTGTGGCTGTCAGAGTCTTGCAGTGCATCATGGGACTTGTAGTTCCACAACAACTGGCGTGTTGCTTTCCCTCGGCTAAGCAGTAAATTGGGAGAACAGGTGTACGCTAGTCAGTCTGTACTGCATTGGTGCTCTAACACCAGCAGCTTGCTGGCAGGAGGAGACAACACAGAGATGACCTCATCAGTGAGTGCTTCTCCTGCATTGTCCAATCACAGCCTGGGGCGAGGGAGGTGGGACCTGTCTGTATTGTATTGTAGTGGAAGAGGAAAGTGCGGTCACTGGTCCAGCTGTCCCAGGTTTTCACCGGGACAGGTGTCCCCCTGTGGAAGTGAGAGGAAATCTCCTAAGGGGAGAGGAGATCCCCTCTATGAAGATTGTCATTGGAATGTGTCCCCCTTGGAAGACTTGCCTGCATTTCTGTTCTGGTGACAACTGTAACATTTTGGAGTTCCCATTAAATGGCTAGGGTCACTGTGCAAATAGAGAGGGGGAATCTCCCCAGGGGGAACACAGACAGCAATAAAAACCTGATAGGGGCTCTAAACCCTCACTTCCCTGTCCAAAATGCTATAAAGCAGAACAACCCACTTCCTCTGGGCCCAGGTCATCCCGGACAAGCCCCCAACTGGTGACTGTACAGTGAAAGGAGAAGCAGCACAGTGATGATCTCATCTCTCTGTCACTCTGCTCTCTCCTCCTATTAACATTCTTCTTGTCAGCACAAGAGCTGATAGGCTCCTTGTGCTGCTTCTTCATCTCACACTCTGAGCTCTGCTGTACAGGAGCTGTAAGAGGCTCATACCAGGTCACATTAGGGTATGCTGATTGACATTTCATGATGCCTAAAGCAAAGGAGGAACCGCCTATCACAGCCAGTTAACACGCTCATCTCATTTCCATCAAAGCTTTGCAATGAGAGCATTGTAGGACTTGAAGCCCCCTACCGGGTTCTGTATCTGTTCCTTCTTACATGGAGCAATGCCGGGAACAGCTTCCCCTGAATCACAGAGCAGAGTTATATTATCCAGGTTCTGAAGGGGGAGGGGTAAAGGGCGCCCACACACAGGAGTCCAGATTCGAACCCCTGCACCTGTAGAAGGCAGCCGGAGTCATCAGACAGAGATCTTCATTCCACAAGGAAGGTCAATGGAGCCGTTGTGTTGTATCGCATGAGGGTGCTGAGCGGACCACTCCTCTATGTGCAGTTTTATACCCACACGACAGTCCTGCTCAGTTCGCTGGTCGTACGGTTTTACAGCCAGCACTCTACCGCCAGCGTGACATTGATCATAGTTGTCATCTGTTTGTGCCACGGGGGGGCAACTGGCCTAGATGTAGCCGCGCGTTATCGTTACATTGTATCCCTGGGCTGGGGGCTGATTGGACAGAAGATAGCACAACCCTGCGACGCTGTCAGAGGCTGGTAATGGTCAGCTGATAGAGAGCCGTCATCTCCTACTCTGAAAGAGAACCACGTCTGGTGTCACCTTTGTCAGCCTCTTCTGTGCTCCTCCCTGAAAGAGAACTTTCCAAACCACGTCCAATCATCAGACGTCTGGTGTCACCTCCATTAGCCTCTTGTGTGCTCCTCCCTACAAGGGAACTTTGCAAACCACGTCCAATCATCAGACGTCTGGTGTCACCTCCATTAGCCTCTTCTGTGCTCCTCCCTACACGGGAACTTTCCAAACCATGTCCAACCACCAGACGTCTGGTGTCACCTCCATTAGCCTCTTCTGTGCTCCTCCCTACACGGGAACTTTCCAAACCACGTCCAACCACCAGATGTCTGGTGTCACCTTTGTCAGCCTATTCTGTGCTCCTCCCTGAAAGAGAACTTTCCAAACCACGTCCAATCATCAGACGTCTGGTGTCACCTCCATTAGCCTCTTCTGTGCTCCTCCCTACAAGGGAACTTTCCAAACCACCTCCAATCATCAGACGTCTGGTGTCACCTCCATTAGCCTCTTGTGTGCTCCTCCCTACAAGGGAACTTTGCAAACCACGTCCAATCACCAGACGTCTGGTGTCACCTCCATTAGCCTCTTCTGTGCTCCTCCCTACAAGGGAACTTTCCAACCCACGTCCAACGGCGGAAGCAAAGAAGCATGTGCCTAAATGTAAGTATAGCGGATCGGGGGGGCCAGATTGGAGGGGGCATTTCCATTTTCCCAAATTCACCTGAGAAAGTGGACTTAGTTAACGGGCCAAATCGACAATTATTTGGTAATGACAAAAAAGAAATAAGGAGCGGGATGGAATATTTTTTTTGAGGGGTGAAACTCTAACAATGAACGCGGCTTTCATTCGGGAAACTCCATTCATTCCGAAATCGAATGTTAAAATCGAACGACGTTCGTCAAGTCTCTGATCATTATCGAAAGTTCTGGCGAGACTTTTCGTATGAACGTTCCCATGGAACGCTATCAGTGTACGGCCGGCTTCACTGTGACTATATAAGCTATATTTATAAAGCGGTCAGTGTGACATTCACCAAACATTCACTGCGGGTGAATCTCCCTTTTGCATGTGTTTTTTTTAAAATGGCATACACTGCTCGTGAATGTTTGGTGAAAGCCACATTCGCTGCTTAACTACGCTTAACATGCAGAACACCTTTCTCTCGAGTTGCCCCTGTTCACATTTGTACGTCCTACGCCAGGGATGGGCAACTCCGGGCCCTCCAGCTGTTTTGGAACTACAAGTCCCATGAGGCATTGCAAGACTGACGGTTACAGGTACAGAGGCAGAGGCATGCTGGGATTTGTAATTAAAGCACAGCTGGAGGGCCGGAGTTGCCCACACCCGCCCTATGCCCACCCCAAATGTCTTTTTTGGCACCTGTTTACCTGCGTTTTTGCATGCGTTTTTTGGTCTGAAGAACTGCTTTTCATTGGTCGGCTGACGCTTAATACACACGCTTGTAAAAGGCTTTAACAACACTCATGGACGCATGTAAAGACCCGCAACAAATGCCCAAAATACGATAAAATCGGTGATATCGGCCACGAGTGTACAGAGCGAGATTCTCATTGATTTGCAGCACCGGAAATGAATATAGAGGGGGATCTACTTTGATATTGTCAGGGGGCCCTTCTATTTACCGGGCCCTCCACGGGCACGCCGCTGTGACCCTACCTGCCCGCCAGAAGTCAGGGCCGCGTCCCTTGGCGCTGAACCCCAGTAAAGCGTCTTCACCTAGCGCTGGACTGGATGTGAAGTTCAAGTGATAAAAGCTTTAGCCCTTAATCCGATTGTCCCCGATTACTGGGATGGTGGTGATGGCCGGAAGGCACAGGAGTGCGCTCGGGGAGGGGGGGGAGGGGGGAGGAGGCGCCGCTCGCTGATCTGGTGAGGAGTCTAGAACACCTCTCCCCGCAGAAATCCCGCTGATGAGGCGCAATACCAAAATCCAATCAGTCGCGCGTTAACTAACCTTCTCATTCGTGACACCTTGTAATTGGAATCCGGCGGATTTGTGCCGAGGTGCCGCGGAGGGCCGCCGCTCGCCTACATCTTCTCCGGCCGCCCCGGGGATGTGAAAGCGCTAATCTTTTCTTTTGCTGACATGATTACTTAAAGCTGAAGTTTAATCTGCTTATATTTTGTATTCCCTACATCCTTCCTTTCCCCCTGTCATCATCATCATCAACAACAACGTGGTATCGGATTTTCCCGTTTTCATTACATTTCAGATATCATAACCGGGTCTTTGTGCTTCTCTATGCAATGCAGGCAGATCATAGCTGGTGAGAGGAGCTGGCAGAGTGCTGTACATAGCTTCCTGAAAACTGCACACTGCCTCGGCACTGCTCTCGAGAGCCCTGATGCAAGCAGTGGGCTGGCTCTTGGGCGGAGTTATGCAAATATCAAAATGCCTTGATGGGCGGGTGTCAGTCTGGAGGAGTGGGCGGTCCTAGGCAGGCTGCATTTGCATGTTAACGCCCAAAAGTGATGCTGAGGCTCAATGATTGAAGGAAGTGAGATCTGAAGAATGAAAGGGGCAGGGCCGATGACATTCAGATAGAGCCCGCCTCGTTTCTTGGCTGCAGGACATCCAGCATAATCTAGAATTCTAGACTTTTCCTCCCCAGCCTGACTGCCCCTGGTCCTGCCCCTGGTCCTGCCCCTTTCATTCATTGGATTTGAGTTCTTTTAATCACGGAAGCTCAGCATCACATGTGGGTGTTACCTATGCAAATACAGCCTGCCTGGGAACGCCCACTCCTCCAGACTGGCACCTGCCCATCGAGTCATTTTTATATTTGCATAACTCCCCCCAAGAGCCAGCCCACTGCTTGCATCAGAGCTGAGGGCTCTTCAGAATGGTACTGAGGCAGGGTGATGTACTGCACCCTGCCGGCCCCTCCCACCAGCCATGATCTGCCTGCACTGCACGGAGAAGCACAGAGACCCGGTGATGACAATAAGATATGTAATGGAAAGGGTTTATTTTAGAAAATGTATTAGCATGTTGATGGGGAAGGGGGGGGGGGGGGATATAAGCAGATTAAACTTCAGATTTAAAGCAAAACTCCATCCAAAATATTTTTCGGATAGAGCGGGGAAGATTAGATCTTCTTGTCGCTGACTTTGACTCCACTGGGGAGACTTCCCCTTCCACATGGGGACAAGAAATGAGGGACCGGGGAGGGTCACCGGGACACCAATGAAAAACATACATCACTTCCAACCTGTTCCCACTGTACTAGAAAATTTGTCATTGGTGCTGCCCATGTCCGTCATTCCTGCCCCTATCACTGGAACAGGAAGTGAGGGAAATATCTTCTCATGGGGGTCATGGACGAACCTTGGGAGCAAAGAGTCTCCCCAAATCTGCAAAAAAAGGAGCCCTTGATAATTGCCCGGAGCTTTGCCTAGGAGTGCGGAGATCTGAGCTTCCTAACTAACAAAATGTTATTTCTAGGTGGACTGGCCCTTTACATATATAAAGACCAGATTTGCTGTCATCCAGGGGGCCCCCGACACCCCTCATCACCATGGACTGGAAGAGCCGGGAAGGGTCCGGCACTGTGCATGATGTATGAGATTGAGAGGCCCCTCGTTCTGACCCTACGAATGGGTTTTAGGTGGCCCAGATGTGGCCGTGGTACTCACCAGTAGATCAGCGACAGGCCGTCGAATCTCTCCAACTCTTTCCTAAAAGGTCTGAGATATGACATCTCATCCGCCGCGACCCTGGAAGAGCCCGGAGCGCTCAGAGCTGGAAGAGCCAGTCCATGTCTGTGCTCTGTGTCCCTTCCTTAATTCCGTATCATCTCAGCTCTGCCTGTGCTAATCACACAGGATTTCAGGCACACAGAGCCGGGCCCTAATCTCACATCCACATATGACTTCAACACCCCCACCCAACACAACCTTCAGCGACAGGCCGTCGAATCTCTCCAACTCTTTCCTAAAAGGTCTGAGATATGACATCTCATCCGCCGCGACCCTGGAAGAGCCCGGAGCGCTCAGAGCTGGAAGAGCCAGTCCATGTCTGTGCTCTGTGTCCCTTCCTTAATTCCGTATCATCTCAGCTCTGCCTGTGCTAATCACACAGGATTTCAGGCACACAGAGCCGGGCCCTAATCTCACATCCACATATGACTTCAACACCCCCCCCCAATCCAAGCCAACCCACCCACCCATCCCTCCGCTACCTACTTCCCCGACTCTTCCCTGACCAGCTGGCGTTCTGTCCCCTTCTGCCTGCCAGTCAACGGACCTGGAGCAATCGCCTCTGATCAGCTCACGCCGGCGGGGAGAGGGTTAATGGGGTCAAAGGCGGGCAAGTGTACTCTGCATACTACAGGAGATGGTCGGAGACTGCAGACATAGTACAGGAGATGGTCAGAGACTGCAGACATAATACAGGAGATGGTCCGAGACTGCAGACATAGTACAGGAGATGGTCAGAGACTGCAGGTGTTCAGTCTCTTTCAGCCACTTCCTGTCTACATGCATTCGCTCCAGCGTTGGCTACACCTCATTGATCTGGGACATCTTCCCTATGGTGACAACAGTGGATCATAGCTGTGTAATGTGTGTTGGGTTGGCCACTTGTAATCTCTCCCGGAGAACATGTGACAGAGTAACAGTGCAGGAGAGTATTTTGGGAGACAGTTGTCACCCCATGACAGGAAGTGTCTGATGAAGGATTCTCATGTCGGGATCGCCCGGGATTATTATTCTCAAAGTTACAGATTTAAAAATATTGACAAAACTGTTCCCTTATATTCAGTGGAGTCACAAGAGGGGTGCAGGGGGTGTGGCCCGAACCTGGGTGACACCAAAATGACTGACAGTCATTTTGGTGTCACCCCCTCTAAAAAGTCGGGCACACAGTCATGGTCTGAGAGCCCGACAGTGGCAGGAGAGAGGAGGGGACTTGTCGGCATACCTCATCCCTCCAGGTGAACGTCCCCCTCCTCTCAATGAGATGACCATGCATGCACGATGATGTCACGGCGGGGGGGGCGGCCGGGGCCCCCCCCCGC